ATACAAAATATGCAGCATGAGAAAATAATCACACTAAGTCTTTTAAAAATAAAAATCAGCTACCTGATCAACTACCTTCAGTTCATGGTAGGAAAAGCACTGAGGTCAGGGCCTACAGAGGAAGGCATCTGGTGGGCAAATCCAAATCCCGAGTTAGGGACACTGGGTGTTGCCTACAGAAAATCACTCTAAAATGAGGCAGACTATGCAAAGGCTAAAGTAAGATCTTTTTCAGCTATGTATAAACTAAATCAGTGTAAGTTTTAAAAGTGTTGAAAACAAATCCAAAGAGGCTAATTCTTTATGAATGAGAGTTATAAAAATACTGGGAAAAATAAATTATTTCTCCTTTGGGAAACTGAGCATGAGATAGTTAAGCACAGAGCCAAAGCTGGTAGAGTTTGTATTTCCAATCAACTTTTTTTTTTGGTAGGAAATGCTATTGTAATTTATTATTTATACTCCTTATGTCTTAAAAAGTAGGTTCCAGTGTCATTTTGCCTGGGTATACATAAAAGAAAGATCAGAGAGCCTACTACACAGTGACCTTTACCTTAATACAATATTACCAGAATGCTGGAAAATTTAGAGTTTTCAAAAGAGAGTAGAGACAAATCCATTTTCAAAGCTTGCATCAGCTAATGTTGAAAAAAAAATCTTTATAAATAACATTATTCTTCTCATCAGGTGACACATGTGGATCAATTTACATTTGACTATAGTAATCAGGAAAGATTAAGTAGGGACATATGTTTTGCAACTGTAGAGAGAGAGAGCAGCTAAAACCCTGGGTGGTCATTGTAACACTGGCATGGAGACAGAATCCAAGATAAGCCTTGGGTAGCAAGGGGTGGTGAGCAGGGAAAAGCAGGAGGGAAGTAGAATATGAACAATGTGTGTCATCTTTAGGGACCCAAAGAGCACTCTTTATCTGACTTTTGAGTGCTTCTTAAATTAAAAGGAAGAGATCAACATGTAAACAAAAAGAAACTAAGTATTTTTAAGGGAACTCTAACTTTTTTATTCTGTGCATTTAATTAAGAGCTGACCTATTATGTCAATTCACCAAAAATGTATCGAATGCCTGTTATGTGGTCCACGTGGCGCTGGGATTGGGAACAGAAGAAAACCCCGTCCACTAGCCACAAAGAGTTCACTGTCTAGTGGGGAAGACAGATGGTTTCATATTCTATTATTGCAGTGTGATCAAGGCAGTTGAAGTGGTGATGAGGTTAGGTTCTGCAGCCAAGCTGCCTGAGTGTGAATCCTAGTTTTACTTTAGAGCTGTGTGATGTTGGACAAGCTACCTTACACTTTGGTGCTTCAGTTTTCTTATCTGTAAAACAGTGCTAATTAAATTTTAACCATCATAGTGTTATTATGAAATGAAATAATTTGTAAGACACACAGAGGTCTTGATAGTATCTGGCTATGTTTTCTGTTCCTGTTTATAATGGTATGCGCAGCATGCTGTGGGAACATAGAGAAACGTGGTGAGACCCAGCCAGGAATGCAGCACTGAACAGTCAGAGAGGGCTTTCCAGTTTATATTTAATTTCCAGATTTATATTTCCAGATTATATTTAAATGGGGATGTAAAATAGTCTAGTAGGATTTACACAGGGGTGCAAAGGTGAAAAAGTGTAAGAGAGCATTGCAAGTGCCCAAGGAAGAGAAATCACTGAGAGTTTGAGATACTCGAAGAAGTCAGTGAGTAGAATTGAGACTAAGTTGGGAATTTAGATATTTATCTTTCAGGCTTTCCTAAATGATTTTATCTGCATGCATGCTGCTCATCTCATTCTCTGCTTTCTGCCACAGCCCTACTTCCCTAGCCATTAATTTCTCTTTACTTCTATTCAGTTCTATACTTGGCTACAAGGTAGTCTTATTTAAAAAACACATTTAACTGGGTCATATCTATATACAACAACCTGTATTTTACCCCTTGTTATTCTTTAGACTAAATCTAAATATTTTTGCCCGGTATTTAAGTTCCTCTTTTCTCTGTCTGAAACACATGTACAAATTTACCTCTCTCTTATTATAATAGCATTCTAGTAATATCCAGCTTCTTGTTATTTCCATCTCCCTCCTCTCATTGCAGATTTCATACGAATCTCTGATCTTGCTCAAGCAATTTCCTCTGTGGAATTTTAGTCTATCTCCATCAATTTTAAATTACTTAAGAACAGGCTCAACTTTGACCATGCTGAAGAAAAAGAAAGTTTGTTTGACCAAACATCACATTATGTTGATATGCTTCTGACACCATAGTGCCTAGTTGTTGAGCTTCACAATCACATACATTACTTTAAACTGATTTCCCCTCCATTCTTTCCATATAGCTCGTGTCTTCCTTGTGGGTGAGTGGAGATTTTGCCTTATAGGTTTTTTATTTTCCTTATATTTATGTAAGTATGTCTACAGTATCTTGTATACCAAATAGCCCAGTAGATGTTTGTTGGATGAATATATGTAAAAATACCTCATATTAAGCCTTCTTAATAACATGCCAAGATAATTATGTGAAATTTCCACATATCTTTTGAAATTGGTTATTTGTCTCTTGCAAGCTAAATTGGAAGAAAATCAAGATGATATAATGGCTGATATTTACTTAGATATATATAGTTCACATAGATAAGTAGAACATTTATAAAAAGTATTGGTTTTTTTTCAATGCAGTGACTTTTAAAGTTGAACTTCCATTGTAAAATGTGGGCGAAGACATAGAAGAATTGTGAACTTAGAGTAAATCCCTGGAAATTAGAGTTTAGATGGAAGGGAACAACCATTTAGTCGATATCTATTGTGTATCAATCTTCACAAGGCTGCTGATTTTGTATAAATCATCTCATTAACTCTTCCTAATATATCCTCCCAAGAAAAGTCATTATTATTATGGCCATTTTATAGCCAGTGCAGCTCAAAAACTTAATGAGTCCTTTCAAAGACTTACATGATTATAAATTTGGGATTTGAATCCAGATCTGACTTCTGAGCCAAATTTGTCTGAGAGGTTGTTAGAATGGCAGTATTTAGAAGTAAGTTAAATAACTTGAGAGTTTTGGACAAGTAACAAATTTCTTGGACTTAGTTTTTCATTCTTATGAATTTGCCCTAGATAATATCTAAAGCTCTTATAATTCTAAATCCTTGTGGAAAAGTGGCAACTGTTTTCTTTAATTCCTTTTTTTTTTTTTGAAAATCACATTTAAAAATCTTAGGGCATAGAGAGTCAGGTGGAAAAGTTGTGCACATCAAATGGTTGTATATTGACTGAGTGAAGTAATTGTCAACTTTTTCTTTATATCTCTCTCATTGTTATAGTAAATTTAAAAATATAATAAATAGAAGAAAAACTGTAGCCTCTTTAGTGGTGAGTTGACTAAATTCAAATAATCAGTCAATATCTTTATCTTTACTTATAATGATGACCAAATTATATAAATCTCAGAAACTTTATTCAGTGCACTTTTTTGCTTGGGTTAGACTATTCTACAATGCCTCCTTGAAGTCTATTCTCAATAAGTATGCATGTGAGAGAAGAGTGATATGATTCTAGAACCATGTGTAGAATCAAATTTTGTTGAGTACTTGCATTTTTATTACTCTAAAAGTGAAACAGTTAATATCAGGATGTATACAATATCTTAGAGACCATAAAGCTGTTAATAAATGTACTATACTGTTAGCTATTTTTTGATATAAATAATGGTGATTTTACTAGACACTAAAGCGTTTTACTTCTCAATATTGTCCAACAAAGTCTTATACATTAAAAAAGCCTAGAATAACATTTATGTATAGGAAAGTTGAATGTGAGCACATGAAATTTCCTAAGGAACCTAGTTAAAGGATTTGGGTATTCTTGGGTAAATTACAACTGGTCAACCCATAACCTGGAATGGACTGAATGCAATGAAATACCAATACACAGAATACTCTGATCATGATCAGTTTAAACCTTTTATCCACATATTAACTTCTTCCAGAATTTGACTATCGTAAAGAAGGAAGTTGGGTTAGTGCTAATAACTGAACATTCCTCTCTCAGTCACACTAAAAAGTAGCTATATCTGTTTTTGCATATAAGGTTCTGAGTACCTTTCACAGAACTTGGTTAGATGAAATGAAAATCTTTCATATCAAGCCATCAGAATGACAGACACTCCAAGGCACAAACTGCCATTACATTTAAGGAGAACAATTTGATATATTAATTTATACCTTCAGGGTTCAGATCTGGCTTGTAGGACATCCTAATTAAAACTAGCCGTTTGAGGAAAGAGACTCCAAGCAGAGATAAAAATGAATTTCAAATTACTTAAAAATATGACACAAGCCTAAAATAAAGACTGTGAAATACTATGGAGGCTTGAAAAATAGTCTTTTTTTCTACCTGTGACAAGGACTATGACAAAAATTCAGTTTTCTTTGGGGTCCTGCAAACAAAAAATCTAAAGAGCAGAGAACACAATGGGGATGGTGCTCTACAACAAGTAGTCCCAGTGTATATTCTTAAAGACCATATCTCAGAAGTGTGTCTCACTAGAAGTTGCATTTCCACACAGTAAATATAATTCTAGACTATAGTTAAATGACTCCAAGAACAGGCAAATAGGCCACACACACACACACACACCAAAAAGAAAAAAAAAACTTTACAAAATTTAAACATTAAACATATAGCCTACAAACAAAATTATTTCCCTCAGAAAACATACTTTGTAATAATACAGAAGAAATGATTAAGGGCAAAAAAAGGTGTTACGCATACCCCATACTTCTGAATGAAGAGGTTATTACTGTAAAACCTGATAGATATTGATCAACAAACCAGTTGGTTATTTGTTGACCACAGTGCTACTTAGGCTAACTGGAATCATATTGTAAATTAAAGAAAACTTTAAAGTTTTTCCAACTTTAATGTAGTAATCTACTAAGTATATGGTATGAAAAGTTAGTATTCGATAAATATGGAGGGTAGCTCATACCTTAAATTCCTCCAAGATTTTGTAATTTTTCCCATGATATTCACAAAAGTTTTTCACTTCTTTGCACTCAGGACAGCATCCATTGTGTTCCACTTTAGTACACTTTGGGTGAATTTTAGGGCATTCTGGCTGATCACAAACAGGTCCATCCAGAGCACAGACACATGGACAGTTGGAATGCCCTGGGAAAAATCGTTCTCCCAACTTGTATACAAAGCCGCTGTCATCCACACACCCTTTCCCTCGATAGTCATCAAAGATTAGATTGTCATTACTGGAGGTCTGGTCACCTTCATCAGCAGGATAGTCTTCATGACTGATGGCAGCAGAGGTGACTAATCCAAGGATGACCAACAGAAGTATGCAAGCTTCATGAATATGAAGAGCCATCCCCCTCCTCAAAGGCTTCTGGATGTGCTCCTAATATAAAATATACTCAGCTCCTTCCATGGGAATACAAGAGGGGTAGGCTGAAAATAAATATTTGAAAAGAATAATTTGACATATATAGAGAGAATATGGATTTATGTAAGCCCATGTTCTTAACCTTTTTATTTGGAATCTGACAAATACTAAGACCTCAAATAGATTGAGTTCTTGCAACTATCTACACTTTAATATAAAGTTTGAAGAGTTTATTCTTGGCAATATATGCATTAAAATTTGTCCATTATTTCACTTAGGAACTTTAGGCTTGAATTTACCTTCTCAATTTCAAAAGTCTGGCTTTGTTTAAAATCATAAGAAGTGGTTTTACTGAGCCTCAAAAAGTGATTACAAGTAGTTACAAATCGCTCAAGAATGTCTTAATTCACATTCTCTATTATTCTCTAAACTGGATTAGTCAGTGATAGACATATTCTACAATTATCTGTATAAAAACTAAGAGATTAGTGAGAAAACTTCTACTTCTAAATGAAAGGGAAGAAACCAATAGCAGTATGCAAATTACAATTGAGAAGAGCTAGTATAAAGGCCTTCCTACTTTACTCACATAATTGGAGAACAATGATCTCAAATGGGTTACTCTCTTTTCAGAGATCATAAATCTAGATTTTGAAACATAGCTAGGAAGAAAAAATAGTGCAACTATTCCATAGTGAATAATAGAAAGAAAAATTTAAGTAATAGTACAAGACAACTCCATGTATTGAAAAGGATTTGTTAAAAATAAATTTATTTGTATTATTGTCCACAACTTTATTTTCTAAGGAAGTAAGCTCCTAGTGGGCAGGAATGATGTACCTGTGATTTTTTTTTAAATGGTAATTTGAATCTATTATTCATGGGATACTATTTTAATTAATTACTTCAATATAAAATATATACCATTCACATATTCTTGAAAATATACCTCTCTTTTGATATTTCAAACATGTCTGATTTAGGGAATTTGCACAAAAATGCCAATATAAAACTGTTTATTGAAATTCCTTAAAATAATAATGAGTTGTTGCCATTCACAGAAAATATGACTAATTAATTTGGTGACATTGACTCATATAAACTTCACTTAGTGCTTGGTGTGCAGTGTTGGTAGTGGGCTCCTATTTAAATGTTTAGAGTGACTAACTCATACGAAGGCTCTGGGAAAACTGTGACTTTAAGGAGTAATAAATAAGAAAAAGTGTGGTTAAATAGTTCATTTGTCTACTTAAATGCTATTGGCTTTATGCCAATTTTGCTAAGATTGTATATAGGACATTTTCAGATCATCTATAAATGTTGGTATACTTTCAGATTATAAGGAGTAATGATCAATCATCTCTTTTCACTATGACCTATACAGACAATAATTTAAAAACAACATTAAGATAGCATTAGGACACTTCATCAACTATTATATTTGCATTTTAAGTAAGATATGCAAATTATAGTAATAGTAAAATGGAAGGTAGTATATTTATGCCCTCCTTTAAGAGAAAGCTTCTCTCTGACATTAGAATTCCTTTTGGGTAGGTAATGATAAAGGGGATAGATTTATTTTAAAATATGTCAAAAATAATGAGTCATGACAGAACAGAAAAAAATGCAAACCTATAATTCTACTTGAGAAGCTGGAAGCTCCCTTTGACAAAGCATTTTTTTCTCTTAAATTACTACAGAGACCACAAACATAACAGAAGCCTCTGAAAAAAGCATACATATATTTTACTGATTAAGGCATGCATTTATACAGCTCTCACATATTTACAAAGTTTATCTTGGAAGAAAAGGAAGCTATTGTGCTTCCTTGTAGTATTCCAGTAGTGTCTGTCAATACATGCACGATAAGCCATATAAAATACACACATCATTCTGCTTCAAAAAGACATAGACAGAAATTGATCTCTTTGCAAGCTACAGGTAGGCATTAATGTATTGTGTTATGGCAAATGTGAACTTAAAGGTAAAAATAGTGGTATAATGTCTACTTTATACAAATCTTAAACATGCTTTTATTATATGAAATACATTTTTAAATATGCATGTAGAAGACAAGGTTTTCTTCTTTTTAATATAACAAAGTTCTTAGGCTATTAAAAATTCCTTTTTCATAATTGAGCTAATCTCCTGCAGTTAAAAACGTTATTTAATAGAAGAAATATTAGAGGAATCAAATAAAATGTTTATCTGAAGATTTTTAATAAGTAAGAAAACACTGCTAAACTGAGGATCACTTTCCAGCTAAACTTTCCCCCCTCCCCATATTGCTACATATAATTTTAAATGACTGCATCTATTTCTTTGAGAAAACAAACATAACTCATGTCATAAGATACACTTACCTAATCACTCTGGAGGTTAATGGTGGTGGTGGGAGTCATAGACCAATATGAACTAAAAGATCAGGTATGTTTTAGGAAAGCAGTTCCTTTTTAATTATCCAAAGAATACATTTTCAGGCATGAATTAAAGGTAATCCATTCTCTCTACCTCCCATTTCAAAACACAGTCAAGAAGCAGTCTCCCGCCCTTCCAGAGAGAAACACAGCAGACACACATAAGAAATATGCTTTGGACCTGTCTTCAGAATTCAAAGCAAGAAGCAATGCTGGTCCTGTAGAAATCCAGACCCCAGTAGCAGAATCATGTTGAACTTATATTTAGCATTTTCTCAGATCCTTCTATGAAATTTACCGGCTGATTACACCTCCTCCACACATGAGTTCACTTACACAGTGTTTGGTACGGCAGTAGAGGTGATTTGGCTAGGCTCTGAGGATCACAAACAGCAATAGCATGCTGTAGCTTAAAGCCCACTCCGCGGGCAGTACCATCAGCATCATCCACAATATGTTGCTTGAATCCCCTCTTACACACCAGAAAATACTAACTGTGGACGTGAAGGAAAGGAGCAACTTTAGCTGGATTTCTGCATCACTGACAGCAGTTTGCAGACTGCTGATTTGGAGCTCATTCGCCGGCAGCCGGGAATTCCTCAGCACCACGGACAGCGCCAACAACTGGCTTCAGAGCCCAGCACGGTCGAAATCCGGAGCTGCTTCTTTAGACCAGGCTAGTGTTCTCTAAAGCAGTCGCACTTTATACAGCTGATGCATGCATTAGGAGAGGGAAAAACCTTTTCATACGAGATACTTATGACATTGAAATTATAATAAAAATACAAAACATTATAATTATACCTAATGTATTCTTAGATGGGCTGCAGAGATGAAAGTTCTGGAAGAGAATTGCTTTTAGATTTAAGCCATCTGCAGTCTTGATTATTATTAATACATAAGGCATAATCATCGTCAAAGAATCTGTGAAAACATATGCTCCCCGATTCTATTTGACCCTTTGGTTGCAGAAGGACTTTGCCTATGCTATTTGATTAAACTTCAGGCCGTCCTGCAGCTTGGATTTGATTTAAAAAAAAAAAAAAAGTAGCCCTGTTCTCCTGCAGTTTGTTCTCTAACATTCAAAATCAATCTCTTGTAATTCATCTAGTCTGTCATTAGGCGTCATTGTAAAGCTGTTTCTTTTAAACCACTAGCAAAGCTCCTCTGTCTCTAAATTCTTATCAAAATGAGAAAGAAAAAGAGACCCAGACACAAATAAATGAGCAAAAAGTTATTTTTTTATTGGTAACAGTAGGAGCACTAAAATACATGTCCAAAGCATGTTTTCAAGCAAATTGTAAATGTTACCTGCTTGCATATTTAACCAGATATTTCCTGGTTTGGGACTAAACAAGGTATTTTCAAGCCTTAAAAGGAATGCCCTCCGCAGTGGGATATGCTGACCATCAAGACCAAGTTCGAACAGTGCCGTCGGAACCTCCGGAAAATAAATACTCTCCGTCAGGAGAAAACACGACTGTGTGAGCCTCACTCTCATGGCCCATCAATTTGTGAATCTGCCCTGATTTAAGATCCAGCAAATGGATAACCCCATTGCCACTTGCCTGGGCTAAAACTCGACCTGAGAGAGAGAGAGAGAGAGAGAGAATATCAAAGTTTAATTTCAAGCAGTCATAGTTTATAAGCAGTGGAATACAGTTTTGTTTCAGTTGTAATTCAACACTCATGTTAGAAGTCAGTCATTAAATATGAGCTCTCATCTGAGTTGGAAATAATTCCAGTCAAATGAAGACATACCACTGGTTAGATTATAAGAATTTTTAATAAGGAAGTAAAATCTAATGCTCTACCTCCTTTACGTGCAGAGGTCGTCAAATACCCTGCTACTCTCTTTATATTTGGGATTAATAAACAATTTTGAAATGAGGGTGAAATAAACAAAGCAATGCAGATTTATTTTTCAAATCAATTATTTGTGAAAAAATTGTCCAAAATCTGTGTCCCTATATAATGGATAATTTACATCTTCAATTTTGTGTCATACTTTAACTTTATAATTATGCTAAATCTTTACTTAATTATAATAATATACATTTATGCTTTAAAAATTATGACACTTAGAAACATTTTTTGGAGTTGAAGTGAAAATAAATACTCCCATTTCAAGGATGACTTAGGTTTTTTTTTTACTCTAATTTAACATTCAAAATTATGTTAAACTAAGTTTATATTACATAAGAACTAAATATAGCACAGAGTATTCTCATAATTTCTATACTGTATAATTTTTAGTGAATAATTTCTTTCAGGTGAAAAATATATCAGCAATCCAATTCTCATACTTAAGGAAGTAGCAAACTACCAGGGAGTTTAGAGGTAAGTAAAGATAATAGAATATGTTTATATAAAGTCAGTATGTGGGGTAGATAAGTATGATATTAGTACTATCTGTGGGATTATCTAATTATACTTAGAAGGCATATTATCATTTTAGTAATAACATTTAAAATTTATTAAACTCTAAACATGTTAGATACAAGATTTAGTACCTAGTGTTTAAATAATATCATATAATCCTTACAAGAATCTAATGATAAAAAAATA